TGAATAGAAAAACAGCAAGATTATGTTAACAACAGTAACTATACAACTTATATGATTAATGGGAAAAAAATTCTGATGGGCAATGCAAGTATGACTAGAAGTCCAAATTCACTTTTAATCAGAAAGATACAAATTAAAATGATATTGTAATTTTTTGCCTGTTACTGACAAAAATTAAAGCATGGCAAAGGTCATAGACTGGGAAAAGCGAAAGGGAGATGATACTTTCCTATATTTCTGCTGGGAGTTTAATTGGTCTCATCTCTTATAATTTTGTAGTGTTATAAATCACAATCCATCAATTCCACCCTATGACCTATATTGTGGAAAAATTGCTCTAGAAGATATATACAGGGTGGCAACTATTTAACTGCACACAAACTTTTGGCCAGCCTGTATAGGTATATTAATTTAATTACTTTTACCAAAAGGAAAAAATTAGAAATGATCAAATATTCACCAACTATTGACCAATGGGTCTATAGAGAAATGCAATTATATTTGCATATGCCAGAATTCTCTCCAACAACAGCAAAAACTGGAGGTAGAGTGGAGCCTCTCTACTTGCTATGTTAGTAGGGATGCTTTTTAACCTCCAGCAATTTCATCTTCATTTATATAATTAGTTTTCTTATTTTTGAAATGGCAATAATTATACCATTTATGCTTTTATTATGAGAATTAAATGTGTGAGAAGTGTTTTAAAGAGTGCATGGCACATAAACATATTATATAAAAGTATTCTTATCATTACAATCTAAAAACAAAAATAAAAATACTACTTTTTATATTAATTTATATTACAATTTACATACCTCAAAACACACACAATTGCTACACACTTGTTATGAATCTATATTGTCTTAATCTGATAGGACTATGCTGTTGTAACGAAATACCTGAGATTGGATACTTTATAAACAACAGAAATTTATTTCTCACAGTTCTGGAGGCTGGGAAGTTCAAGATCAAGATGCTGGCTGCTTTCTGCTTCTAAGGTGGTGCCCTCATACAGTGGAAGAACAACAGAAAAGAATGAACCCACTCCCTCAGGCTTTTATAAGGGTCCTCATCCCATCCATGAAGAGCTCCAACCTCATGGTTGGATCACCTAGTATTAGGCCCCACTTCCTAATACTGTCACTTTGGTGATGAAATTTTAATACATGAATTTTAGAGGACACATCCAATACAAACATACGTGTAGAAAGATAAAAAATATGATTTGGAAGACCACACACCAAAATCTTAATAGGGACAGGGTGTGATGAAAGTGGATACAATGGCTGGTATCCGTTACTGCTACACCTCTGCCAGGGGCTGGCTGCACTGCCACCATGATCAGCTTCACCAAGGCTACTTTTGATGCCATCTCCAAGACCTATAGCTGTCTGACACCTGACCTCCAGAAAGAAATGGTAATTCACCAAGTCTCCCTACCAGGAACTCACTGATCATCTCACAAGCCATACCAGATTTTCTGTGCAGTGGACCCTGTACATTTTATAAGAATGTACTTATAAAAATACAAGTAAAATAAAGTGAATTAGGCCTGTTAAAAATTTTTTATCAGATAGAAAGGAAGATATCAAGTAAAATGTAAGGTGAACACTTTCCCTGTGTTTGCTGTATGCTCCTAGCTTGCCTTAGAGTGAAACTCTCTGTAAGTAAGAGGATTAATGAATGAGTAGAATCAGGGATCCTCAAACTTTTTAAACAGGGGGCCAGTTCACTGTCCCTCAGACCATTGGAGGGCCGGACTGCAGGCCTGGGGATGAGTCAACTGCAGGACAGGCAGTGGCGGCAAAAACACCCCACAGGCTGGATAAATGTCCTAAGTGGGCCACGTGTGGCCCGCGAGCCGTAGTTTGAGGACATCTGAAGTAGATGGTTGTTCACCATGATCACATAGTCCTAGAGGTTGCTGCATTGGAAGTTGTGACACACCTTTCAATAAATACATTGCTAATAATAGTTTTTAAAAAGAAATTTATACATGTCTTAAGAACATGAGTTAGGAATGAATCAGAGCAGATGTGTGGGCAGGAGACCCTGTCATCTGATGAAAACTTTTGGTATCTCCCACCATTTCCACCTGCACGGCTCACTTCTTCCTTCTGTGGTGTCAGGTGCTTTGGAGTCCAAGCCCCCGTGACGGACGCCTCTGTGGAGCCTCCCCTGAATGTCTTTCCTCCTTTCATTAGTTGCCACTCCTAACCATGAAGGGTTGGAAATCACTTAGAGTGTGATGACTAGCTTTCCATTCTCTTGGCCATTGTAGCAATACACCTTTTTCATGCACGTACTTTCTTTTTGAGGGATGCTCAGGAGGGAAAAGAATAAAAACATATAGTTCAATTCATTTTTAGAAGACTTCACATTTATTCATTTATTTTACTTAATTTTCCTTTTTTTTTTTTTTTTACTGTGGTTGAAAAGACACATACCATAAGAGTTATTGGCTGGCTCGGTGGCTAGCACTAATCCCAGCACTTCAGGAGGCCAAGTCAGGAGGATTGCTTGAGGCCAAGAGTTTGAGGTTGCAGTGACCTATGAACACACTACCACACTCTCGCCCTGACAACTCTTGACTTACCCTCTTAACAATTTTTAAGTATACAGTAAGTACAGTATTAAGTATGGGCATAATATTGTACAACAGATCTTTAGAAAAGTTTTCATGTTGCACAACCTAAACTTCATACCCATTGAAGAGCAGCTCCCTGATTCCCCCTCAACTCAGTCCCTTGCAACCCCTTACCTTCTGCTTCTAGAACTTGCTTTTTTACCTGCCCTCTGGCTATCTCATCCTTATGAAGGTTTTAAAACCAAACATTTGCTGGATTTAGTATTTATTTCTATTGAATTTCACATTTTGGGGTCTAGTCCATCTTTTAGTAAGACTGAGATAATTTTGATTCTTGAATACTCCATCACATAAACTCTCTGGGGACAGTCAGAAATACATTGATTTTTAGCCCAGCTGAAGCATCACCCTTTATTGCTCTATATTACAGTTGGTTTCTCTCCACCCCCCTCCATATTCTTACCTCCTCATCACCTCATGGATGTCCACCAATGACCAAGGCTCTTGTCTAAGGAATCTCTTCTGCTAGTTTTATATTCCCACCATTAGACTTGGTAGTCAGCCACATCTTCAAATCTCAAACAAATGCTGTGATTAATTGATTTGCTAATGTTTATTTAGCAAGTAAATGGCAGAACTTGGACACTTGGGTTTCGTTCAAACAGTATTTATAGATGTCTGTGTATCTGGCATTGTGCTTAGTGCTTTGAGTATGAAGGCAAATATTATCGGGTTTCCTTTTTTTTTTTTTTGCATTTTTTTGGCCAGGGCCTGGGTTTGAACCTACCACCTCTGGCATATAGGGCCGGCGCCCTACTCCTTTGAGCCACAGGTGCTGACCCTATAGAGTTTCTTGTTTAAAAAATACAGAGAGGAAGAGAGAATGAGACAAAAACATAGGGCTTTTATTTTTTATTTTATTTATTTTTTTTGAGACAGAGTCTCACTATGTCACCCTTGGTAGAGTACTGTGGTGTCACAGCTCACAGGCAACCTCAAAGTCTTGGGCTTAAGTGATTCTCTTGCCTCAACTTCCCAAGTAGCTGGGACTACAGGCACCTGCCCCAACACCCAGCTATTTTTTTGTTGTAGTTGTCATTGTTGTTTAGCTGGTCTGGGCTGGGTTCAAACCCACCTGCCTCGGTGTATGTAATTGGCACCCTAACACTGAGCTACCAGCACTGAGCCATGGGCTCTTAAACCTTTTTGATTATGCTATAGTAAGAAATATAGTTTACCTAATGACCTTGTGCACCAGACATGCTGACTACTCAAGGAAAAATGTCAGGAAATAACACTGAACTTTCTACATGCGATGCACTTGTCTATCCTACTTATTTCATTTAAAACATCAGGCCATAATACACTAAATTTACAAGCCAGTAACAGGTCTTGATCAAAGGTTGGGAAAAAAAAGAATTATTTAAAACAAATAATTTCAGAGAAAAAAGAAAATTATGAGAATGAAATTTAATTCCAGATTTAGAACTTTTTCCCCACATTACTCAATGCTGCTTATTTTTAGTTTGGACTCATGTCTCCCTTTTTGGCATTTACATATTAGCTTATCAGCACCTTGTGTGCCAAGCAGGCCGTTTTGGTGGAAATACTCTTTGATGGGAGGAAGAAAGAGCTGAAGGTAAAGGGAAGACACAGTTAGCCGAGGACGGTTAGGTGGATGGGGTGGGTGGTGGTGGCCAAAGAGTTATCTCACCTGGTCACCACAGTACAGGATAATCAGACTACTTATAGAATTAGGAGAGGTTTTTTCCTAGGGGATGAGATGTCGGGGTGGGGGTAATATTTGATGGATAGAATCATTTAATTTTTTCCCACCTTCTCACAATCTCTATTTAGATTTTGGTGTGTGGTTTTCCAGATTATTTTTTAATACCTTTAACCACACATGGATTCATAAAGAGTATATAGTAATTATTTGTGTTTTGATTTATATAAATAGTAATTTCATCACTTCTATCCTTTAGCTCCAGAAAATCCTGCCTGGTACCCTTTGAAGGCTCCAAACCTCCCAAGCCTCCTTCCATCACTTACGTTGTATTAACACAGTACGTTTGAGGGTCTTGAGAGGAGGGAGGGCTTCTTTCTTCTCTAAATTCTTCGCACCCCAGCCTGGCACGTGGTAGGTCCTCAGGTAGGCATTCCTGGAATTCCCTACATCTCAGTTTCCTCCACTGGAAAACAACATGGGGTTAAACGATGCCCAGGGCCCTTGCAGTCCTCATAATTTTTGACTTTGACAGATCTGAAGCGGCCCCGCACTCTGCTTCACAAGAAGTGGTTGGCCTGAGATCCGAATTCAAACCCAAATGAACTATGCTCAGTTTATGGCCTAACCTTGCCCTGGCTCAATCAGCCAGAGAGCTGTGATAAGAGCAGATGAAAGCCTATGTGGCAGCAGCGCCTGCAGCTGAGAAGGATTCCAGCCTCCACCTCCAGCCTGCCTGCCGCTGCTGTCAGCCTGCAATTTCCTCCAAGGCTCCGGATTGGGCCGTGTGCAACAGAGGGCTGGGAAGAGCCTCTATATATTCCTCAGAGGGAAGGGCAGTTCCAGACAGTTTTGAAGTGTTGAGACTCTCTCTGCTCAAAGAAGTTATACTCAAAGCCGAGGAGCTAAGCCAGCTGCCAAAATGTGCAAAGGACTTGCAGCTTTGCCCCACTCGTGCCTGGAAAGGTGAGAACCAAGTTATTCTGGTTTAAGAGATGGAGATAAGGAGACTCTTACTCAAGGGAGGATACCCAGAAACAAAAGAGGCATTGGAGTTCGTGACTAGACTGAGATAAAACAGGTGTTTTAGTGTAGACTGGGAATTGTCTCTTCTCTGTAAACGACACAGAGATTTGCAAAGATCTGAGCTACAGGATATTTTAAACATCATTTAATATCCAGAACGTCATTTCCTTCAAAGAGATAGTTATTCTATAGGTGCTTATTCACAGTGAAAAATGTATGGTTAAAAACATAGATTCCAAAATCAAACTGCCTGCATTTGAATCCTGGCTCTACTACTTACTATTTGGGTGGCTTTGGGCAATTTATTTAGCCTCTCTTTCATCTCAATTTTCTTATCTGTAAAATGGAAATGCTAAAAGTACTTTAGTAGCTGGTTGTAGGAATTAATGTATATGGAAAGCCTAGAAAAATGTCTGGCAGATAGTAAGTAGAATGCATCAATGTTAATCTTTATTAACGTGCAGGGAGGGAGGACGGCAGGTTTGCAGTGAGGGAGAGGAGATTTCTCATTGTTCTTTATACTTGAGGGGTTAGATAGAAGTACTTGGATTCCTGGACAGAAAAGCCCTTGGGACACAGGTGTTACTTATTAGCTAACATTCTTTCTTAAATAAATGGAGCAAAACCTTTACGCCTCCCTGCTTGTTCAGAACTCCCTGACCAGCATTCTAGAGGGAATCCTGAATATCTAGATAAAGTAAATAGAAGAAGAACAAATAATTTACTTGTTAGAAAATTTAACCCAATATTAGATATTGAAAGACCACCTCATAGAGAAAAGTAGAGATGTTTCTCTGCTTTTTCACAATTAATTTGATTCACTTTTGTCTAACCCCTCAGTATTTAAAGGAAATAAAGGTGACCCCGTGCAACCCTCCATCCCTAAAGGCACTGGGGATGTTTGTTGAAACTGTGACACTGTTACTAGTTTTCCCCCTCTATATTCTTATGGCCACACATAATGTTTACTGAGACATATGGATGGAACACTTCCTTCAATGATTCCTTCACTGTTCCTATCTGATTCACTAGCAACATTGATATTGAATCCCTTTATATATTTTTGAACATACTTTACAGAAAAGTAATTTTATGTATCTTGTTATGCTTCCAAAAGCAAATTCTTATGCCTCAGGATCAAATTAATTTTCAAAAGTGCAAGCTTTTTTTTTTTTTCCCACAGACTGCTTGAACTTTCTAATTCACTGGAATGTGGGGAATCGTACAGTTATTATGTATCACTACATGTGTTTTTCATGATCTGGTCCCTTTGTAAATAGAGTCCTATTTCTAATTATGATGCTATCTGAGTGGAATGTTTTGGAGAAATGCAATTATGGAGCTGTCAAGCTATTAGCATATACCCCTGGAAAAGATCTAAGATTGTCTATTTGGAGGGGAAAGTGTCCCTCGAATAAACACTCCCAGACCTGCCTTCCATGCTGTGCGCTCTGACTCTCACCTCCCTCATCCACCAGGCTCCCACCTTTGCATTTGTTTTCTCCAAGCTACAAAAGGAACATGGGTATGTCTCGATGCTTAGATAAAGGTATTTAAACATCCGTCTAAAATAAACTAGGGCAAAACTATGTATTACAAGACAAATATATTGTTAACAGAGAGCTCTGCTGAAGAGTTAAATTGCAACTTTTATATTGCATTGGAAATAGAATTTGGTTTCACAAAAATTGAATCAACATCTTATTACTTTTCTTTTTTTTTTTTTTTTTTTTTTTGCTGAGGCTGGGTTTGAACCCGCCACCTCTGGCATATGGGGCCTGCGCCCTACCCTTTTGAGCCACAGGCACTGCCCCGATAATTAACATCTTATTTATTCTGGTGGAAAGAGCACTGGTTAAAAGTAAGGCACACACTCCTTTTTGTCATTATCTAAATGTGTGTCCTTTAGCAATTCATTTGACTCTGCTAAGACTCTATTTTCTAGATGAATAGGTAAAAGTTGGAATAGATATTCTCTAATATCTTTTCCAGTTCCAACATAGTGTCCACAAAGTGAGATTTTCAGTGACTGCTGAGAGATGTGATTAAAGGGAACTTTTTCCTAATATATTTTTTTTCTAGAGGGTTGGGAGCAAATGTGAGTCAAATAATGAAAAATCATTATGGACCCAAATCTAGGCTGAAATCACTACTCTAAGCAGAATAGTTTGCCCAGTGACTCTAACACTGACTCATAAGACCACATAATTTACTTCACATAAGGGAAAATCTTACCTTAGGAAGTATTCTTCTCTTAATGTCTAAGGAAGCTTTCAGCCTGAGTCAATTTTGACATAGAAACTATTCTTTGTTTATTTAGATTGTTAAGACTATTGCTTATTAAGCCCCCAAGTAGACCTCACATATCTTTATATATTTATAGAGACACATAATCCAAGCCTTTGAGCAATGAATGGCCACCACCCTCTGGCATATTGAAACCTGTCTGTAAGAGTGGGAATCTTACACAGTCAATAAAAAAGGAAAGAACTGAGTCAATTGAAAGTCTTATTTTTACCCATGATTTTCAACTTTAATTTCAGGCTTCTTTTGAAAATTTGTTTAATTTTACAGTCTCTTAAATTTCTCCAAGCAAGTTGTTTTTTTGTTTTTGTTTGTTTTTGAGACATGGTCTTGCTCTGTTCCCTGGGTTCGTGCAGTGGTATCATCACAGCTCACTGCACCCTCAAGGTGCTGGACTCAAAGTATCCTCTTGCCTCAACCTCCCAACATTCTGGGATTATAGGTGTGTACCTGGCCTGATTCGTGAAGTAAATATTGTTTTATGGAACAAGATGGAAGTATTCCTTTTTTCTTTTTTTCTTTTTTGAGACAGAGTTTCATTTTGTCACCCTCAGTAGAGTGCCATGGTGTCACAGTTTACAGCATCTTCAAACTCTTGGGCTCAGGTGATCCTCTTGCCTCCCAAGTAGCTGGGACTACAGGTGTCTGCCACAATGCCTGGCTACTTTTAGAGATGAGGTCTTGCTCTGGCTCAGGCTGGTCTCAAACCTGTGAGCCTTGGCCTCCCAGATTGCTAGGATTACAGGCATGAGGCACGGCACCCAGCCTTCAAGATGGAAGTATTCTGAGATAAAAATTATTGTTTCAATTTCTAAAATGTTGTCACCATAATATAAAGCACCCAGTGTAGTTTCTAGGTGTTCACAGGTGTTAACTCATCTAAGTACCAAGTTCATGGTCTCTACTAAACTAACATGAAGAGTAAAGGAGTAACTAAGACTTGGCTTCTGACAAAGAACTTTGAGTGATAGAACTTTCACTGATAAAGTGTTGTAAATCCCTTACCACTGTAGATGTCTGGCACAGACCTGATCTCTGCTGCAGACTGGGAAGGTTGATAATGGTATGCTAACGGCATAAAGCTTTTAATCTGTCATGCACACGGAAGGCTTCTGGCCATCTCAATTGTGTGGCAATGCTGGGAATTTTGAGTTATAGAAAGTAAATGGGAACGGTGATTTTAAAAAATTTACTAGTAATTATTTTAGGATTGATTGTGCATTTTATTTGTTGCTTAAACTTTTATTTGCTATAAAAACTTATTTTCTTTTTACTAAGCCTTCATTCTTTTTTCCATCTTCTCTGATTTATGTAGGTCAAATAAGGACAAATTAGAGCAGACAGGCAGCTAATAAGCAAGGCTACTCATCGACTCATCTTTTGAGATTGTCAAGCCTTTGGAAGCACCAGAGTGGGTCAAGGCCCCTGGGTCTGTAAGATTAAGTAAACAAAGTCTCTTTCAAAAGCATGGGCTCATCCTTAGGCTAATTATAGAGAAAAGATAAGCATGAGGTCAATTAAAGACTGTGGTAGTTAACTTGAGTGAGTGATAGCGCAATTGACATGAATGCAAGATCATCAAAGAAGCCTAAAGAGAGAGTGGCAGGGCTTCCAGCTGGGTTTAGGATCATGCCTTCTGAGAGTGTGAATGTGAATATGATATATGTGAATATAAACATATAGCTGATAGTCTACGATATAACTGAAAAATATTGCAATGAAATTGTATAAGGTAGGAAAGTTAGTTAACTATTTAGTAAAATTTGGAGGGGAAAAATCACCAAGAAAAACTTACTTCTGATTCTTATGCATGAAACAATATCAATTATTTCTCTGGATTGCCTTTCGTATCTATATACTGGCTTTAGGCATATGGATCAAAAACCCACGCCTTGTTCCTAAAGAAATTTCAGCCCAGTTAGGGAGATGAACAAGGAAAAAAAAAAATTAATCCTCTGTTTTGTAATCCTCCATGAAAGAATCAATGCACACAGTGTTGAGAAGCACAGAAGTGTGAGAAGTCCTTGGTGGCAGAGGTGCTCATGAGAGCTTTTGGTAGTCAGGGGAGATTTTATAAGAAGCTACAGGGATAATGTTGAACAAAGTCTAAAAGGACAGAGGAGTTAGCCAGGTCTAGATGGGAGAGGAAAGAGAAGAAAGGCCTTTTAGGCCCAGGGGACAGATATACAAGTGAAATGACCCAGAGGTGAGAGGGTACAGCAAGAATGACTGATGCTATGACATCTCTATGCCATCTGTGTTATCTCTCAGAGGCGTATAAGGAGGGAGACCTCTGGGTTTCCAGCCACAGCCAAACTCCTGGTAATAATCCACACCTGGGCATCGCATCCTGCCTGTGGTTCTCTGGTAACTTCTCCAGTGCCCATCCACTCCCAACAATGAGGACTGAAGAGATTTGCTCAGGGAAAAATTTGTATCCCCTTTTGCTGAAATAATTCAATTACTAAAACAATAGTCTGCATTTGGCATGTGGTAGGCACCTCATAAATATTTTGTTGAAAGAAAGCATGAATGAATGTACAGCAAATAGAGACAGGACAGCTCCCCATCAGCCTGGCATTTTCTCTGCTTTTCCAAGGGATTGGGAAGGAAAAGATTGCTACACTATCAGCAGT